AGTTGATATTACACAAAATCATCACGCATTATTTTACAATATGTATCTTTTTGACGTGTCTATTGTTTGGTGATCGCGATACAAATTAGGCAATCACTGGATGAACACAACCATATAGATGATCCGATAATCTGATTGGTTAATATTCGCGTATTAGTTTTAATGGGTTTACTTATTTCTCACTGTGATACAAATCACATGAAATTTTTAAATATTCTATTTGCTGTAAATTTGCTTTAATTTTAAAGTTAGGAAGAATAAATTCTATACTAAAATTTTGCAAGGAATTTTTTTTGTTAGAACACAAGAAGCGGTTTTTTAGACAAAATTTTGAGTTATTGGCGGTTTTTTGAAAAATACCAACAAATGCCATGTTACACCTGATCTTACGATCTACGTACAAAAATTTCCTTTTTTGGTTTGTATCACGGTGGGAAATAAGGGCACGCCAGTTTTAATAACGAAACGCCCACGAACACGAAGCCGAGTAAATACCTTAATCATTTTACCTGTTTAACTTTGTTAACCGCTTAATTTTAGATAATCCTGGCTCATTATCAACATAATTCGGTTTAGAACTGGTGAACAATTTTAAACGGTTAAACAGTTCTAATCCTTAGTACTGTACATACAGTATCGATGATGCTGGGGTTTTTTTAAATAGCATTACGTTTTCGGTTTAAACTTGATCTAGATACGTATAATATTCCGTTGTTTAACCAAAATAGCTACAGGTATAATAAAAATAAAACAAGCATTGTTCGGAGCAAAGCGAAATGCAGCGGTGAGGTTGAGGTCAAGAGAACATGATCAAAAACATGAAGACTATTTATATGAAACGTTTTCAAATTCGTACACCTTTATTGACGTTTTTTCCAAACCGTAACTAAATGAGAACGATTCTCAATAGATACGGTGATTTTCATGGCGCAGAGTCGAAAGCACATGTTAATTAGTGTTAAATTCTGGTATATACAAAATCAATTTCTTGGTCCTCATAACCCGGGTCAATCTCGAAAACTTGCTAATTTTTTTTTTTTTTTTTACAAATAACCGGATTATTAAAAAAAAACTGTGCGACCGTCTTTCCCAAAGTTTTAGTGGTATGATAAAAACCAAGAAATTAACTTGTATACCTATGCTATATAAAAAAAAACCATAAAGTTTGGCTTTTCAACAACAATCTGATAGTTTATCATTATATTGATTTAAATTTACAATTTAAATGCGGACCAAATCTTCGGAACATAAACTTTTTATCTATCACTAAAAAAAGTAGATAACTATTCAAATTTACAAATAGTTCTAAACAAATTCTGAACGACAATTTCTACTGATTAAATATCCGAATTTGGAAAACAATAAATCTATGTATTTAAAACAAGGAACAGTATTAAATGTAAAGGCTTCTTTTTGCCAAAAAATTAAATAATATAACTTATAAATGTTAGAAAAATATCTTTCGGTTTTTATCATTTATTCTAGGTATATATTTCAAAAAATAAGTTTATAAATCTCTATAATTAATATTTTTCGGCCATTATCAACGTAACTAATGAAGTCCAACCGTTAAATGGATGACTATTTCAAAATAAAATTTCATTTAACAATAATTAAATTAAACCGCTCGAATTATACGTAAAAATATAAAAAATATATACCTTCTTACTCCCTCCCCATTAATAGCAGAATATTGTTCCCATGAATACCCAGTTCTATTGAACTCCTAAATTAAAATAAATTACCCTGTTGAATAAATTGTTTATCCAATATATACTATATACATAAACAAGTATGAATAAAAACTTACATTATAAACATTATTAATTATATTATCTCTCAACTCTTTATATATTTTTTTTGCTTTTTCTTGATATGGCCCTGGTTTTACTGCATAATTCTATTTCAATTAATCAAAAATAACATATACAACCATAGCAAATTCAAGTTATTACTAATAATCCAATTCTAAAATATAATATTATAGTTATTAAATATAAATAACTTACTTTATACAAAGATGATAAAACAAAATAATTAATATTTATCCAAACAGGTCCTCTCCAATAATTTTCTTCTGTATTAAAATATTTATCAGATATTGAAAGTGATCTTAATCCATATCTATTTGGTTATTGTTAATTTTTTTTGTTTAGGTTTGTCATTAAAAATAATAATCAATATATGGCCAAAATCTTTTAATCCTTTTTTTTTTTTAACAGAAAAGGGATACGGTGACCATAACTCCTCAGGATTATGTATTAATTCCAAAATAGCACCAAGCTTTGGTGAATCATTTGGTAAAAATTCATGTAACATTGGAAATAATGACAAATAGCCTTTGTGACAAACATGAACTGATTCATCTATTATTATGAAGGAAATTAATTTGAATATGCAAATTATAACAGAATTTAAATGAAGATTGGAAAATAGAACTTACTATCTTCGTCAATTGAAACATCACAAAATGCTTGATCCTTCTCACTCCAATGCAAATCTGAAAAAATATTTAGCATTATTTTTAATAACTAAAGATCCTCTAATTATATCATAACTGTTAAATCAACACCATGAATATAACTCATACATTCATAATTATTAATAAAACTAAATACTAAACTAACCATGTAAATTATTAATGATATCTTTATAATGTTTGCCAAAATCCTCAACATCATCTTCTTCACCTAGCCTTTCGGCAATATTTCTAAGTGATCTTGCCATAAATCCTACCCAACACATTAAATCGACATGTAATTCTGCAGGATGTGGTGGTGTTGGTCTTGGATAATCATCCAGACCTTTAAACAATAATCAAAGTGAGAATACAACTCAAAAATTATGTAGAACATATGCTTCAGAAATATAAAATACATTACCAGAAGTTAAAGTATGTCCAGGAGTTCTACCTCTCCATCTGTAAGCCTCTTTGCTATTACTAGCTTTTCTACCCCATTCTTTAATTTCACCCCATTGTGTTCTCC